CGTGTGCAGTGCAACCAGCCAAATCTGGCACACAATTGTTACATCTCTCTAGTTTTCTCTTTGCCTTCTCAGCCAGGCACATGTCACAGATGGAGTCATCATCCATGGCTATGAATAGCTGTTGCAACTGTACCATTAATGTAGAAAACAGCTGTAAGTCGAGCACAAGGTTTGTGGGGTTTTAAAGCAAGCGAAAATGAGGTGACAGAATATGGCAATGTCTGTAAAATGCAACAGCATCAGTACTTTCTCTTCCTACAAGTCTATAAAGATGCCGCTCTGTGGAGTCCATAACCAGAAACCAATTTCCTCTCTGCTCTCCATATACACAAACACACTGAATGCTTCAAGATGGTGAACTATCAGAATGAAACTGCGCGTATACATTGAAAGAACTAGCAAAGCAACAAGACATTTTGATTTACTCAGCCAAGTAAACTCTAATACACTGAAGTCAGTGTCAACTTTGTTGTAAAACTATATTTTAAATATTCCTGCTTGGATCAAATCCAAAGCCTGTCTTGTCTGCTGCTCTTATTTGACCCCTTACATTTGGTTACCAGGCCCTTCTACTATAGTTACCATTTCCAAAATAACTGCTGACTGCATACAAAAAAAAAATCAATTTTATGCCATAATTCTGGAATAAACCCACAAGGCATTGATATCTCACATCCCCAACCTTTGCGTTTGGCAGGCAGGTTACCATATATTTTGTATACACCATCAGAGACACAGCTATCTGTACTTGTATCCCATCTCCAAAAGGGCCCACCCACACCCAGAGGTATCAGCTAAACACAAAGAGATCATGGCGTAATAAAAGATCCTCTTTCATCACTTTGACATTCTCCAACACAGTCCCTTAGGCCTTCACTTAATAGAACAGTACAGGATCCTATATCACTTTCAGATTTCGACAGGATTATTGCCATGGCAGTTGAAGTGGAATATAGTGCTATAAGAGTGTAATGTGACAAGGCTCTTTCTCTTTCTTGGCTGTTGCACTTCATCCATTCTGGCCACTATGGGATGGATGCATTTCTTTTCCAAGGCGCTTAAATATGTTATCTACCTTGGAGAGTACAGAACTGAACTGGGAAATACAACAGGATGTAGTCTACAGAAAAAGGCTCTTATGTGGTGGCGGTAGTGATTGTTGTGTACATAATTATTGCCACTGAAGAATTATGATGCTTGCGGCTCTATCTCTAAACTAATCTTGTTGGTGCATTTATTTTGGGAGGATACTGTGGGAATAACAATTGGTCTGAAGAACATAAAGCTCTGGTACAAAGCAGAACTTCGGAGGCTTATAGTTTGAAAATACAACTCTCCACAGGGATCACCATGGGAGAGGACACACTGCAGAATTACAGCAGTTTGATATCACCTTTAACTTTCATGGTTCATTGCTATAGAATTTTGTACCAGAGCTCTGTGACAGGGAAGGTTAAATACCTCAGAAAACTACAAATCCCAGAATTCTCTAACAGTGAACTGTAGCAATTATGGTAGGGTCCAATTGCTATAATTCTTCAATGTGGCTATATCCTAGCTTCAACACTGAATTGTGAGCATCCACTTATCATAACATGGTGCTGGTGTAAAGCAAATATCTCAAAGTACCTTGAGAGGGTTTTCTTGCACCAGAGCTTGGAGAAGTTAGTATTTGAGACTACAGTTCCTAGAATCCCCCATCCCCAATGCCACTGATAGCATTGCTTGGCAAATTTCAAGGTTTTGTTTTGCATGAATAGCCAATGTTCTCCAGATCAACTACTATCCCTGTGACACTGAGTGAAAAATACTAGAGATCCATCTAGTCCACATACTGAATGTCTCTCTGCACTTCTTTTATATGCTGACAAGGAATGTGATAGAAGCAGTAACCCTCATATAGTTAGCTCCTTGCATTTGGGCACACTAGGCTATACTACATATTAGTTCTTAAGTGGCTTACTTTTCCTTTAAAAAACAATTTCTATGAATGCATTTTGATGCCAAGCAGATATAACAGTGTATCCTATGAGTACACTCTGCTGCAAGTGAAATTTAATTGAATCCATAAAAATTAAAGTGCTTGTCATGACCCAAACATAGTGAACACTGTTATGCTCCGCTAATCCCATCAGTTTAAATTTCTGGTGTCCCAAGAAAGAGTGTTTTCTATGTTGTTAAAACCTGTTCCATATGTTGCTTGAACTTGGTGCTTGGGAACAGAATGCAATGTACATCTTGGTCATGGTGATTTAAAATCTATCAATACTATGCACAGTAATCCAAATGAATGATTTTCTTCTCATTTTCATTCCCACTTCAAAATATTTGAGTAAGTGAAGCAGTTGTGGGTATACTCAAACTGTTACAGAGGTCAAAATATTGGAGAACCTGTTGATCTCTATGTGATTGAGACTTCAGCCATGATAGCAGGAGATGCCAATGACAAGGCTTTATAGGAGACATCTGAAGAGCAAATGATCTCCCATCTCTGATTTACAGCATACTGTTGATGTGATTTAGTTGATATACATTTTTTATATGTTCAACATCTTGCTAGTGGAGATCTTCTAGGTTTGATCATTGTTGGCATAGGCCATTTTGGTATCCTTCAAAGAGGTTCATTTGAGGGAATGGTTCCGCTATATGATACAGTATATCTAATCCATTGCTGTGCTTCATTATGAATCTTCCCCCCTTCAGGGTGCAAGTCTTCCGCTACTGTGAGGTAACGCTTGAATAATTTGACTCTAGGCCCTAGAAGAACACACATCTTGCTGGAAGCCACTGGGATGAAAGCTCCTGTGTGCTTAAGGAGGTAACCTTAATCCGCGGAAGTCTGTAAGCATTTGGCAATGACTTCAGTGAATCTGGCCATTCTGAAGTTGCGAATTATGCCCTCCAGAGCAAACACACACTTCTGCAAGCATCAACACAAAAGATTTGCTCACTGTTGCTAGATATGCCAGCATATACTTGTATCTTGAAAAAAATCATTAAGAGTATATGGCATTTTAATGATATGGCACATTGGCAAATTCTTGCCTCAAACTAAGGACGCCAGCAAAAAGCTAATGAATTTTATTTCCAACAAATGTATTGATGCTGTAGGCAAAAATAATAAAACATTATTTCAGTTCTCTGAAACTAAAAAACGTGAAATGCTAAATATAAACAAGTAATATGTTTTGTAGCTATATTTAACTTTTTTTTCTCTCTGCAGCTAAGTGCAGATGGATTTACCCAAAGGTTAAGATAAATGAATCAGCTCTGACAGCAATATCTGAAAGAAGTTGCCCTTGAAAATACATCTTGGTTCTGTATTCACAACCTGTCATTCACATCATATACCTTCTTTACTATTAACAGTTCCTTGAAAAGCTCATGAAATTCCACTATTTCACCTCCCTGAGAAAAACACCATCAATGTTTAGTGATAACCCTTCTTCAATTATCTTGAGCAGAGTATATAACTGATAACAAAGCAACAAGGTTGTTACAATTCACCAACATAAGGACTTTTTGAAGGATCAACGTTAAGTAGCAAATGCATTTCTCCAGTTTTGTTCTCTCAAACTATCCTTATACTGTGTGGAACAGAGTTTGGAAACATGACAGTAACAATCTGAATGCCACAAACCAGCATGGTGTTATCTGAAGGGAAGAATTTTCAGAGGACATCTTTCCCTGCTGTTCAATCTCAATGAATTTAAAAATGGCTCATTAAAAGATCCTCATGTTGGGTTTATGTAAGTGACTGTCCAACTGCCCAGACAAACTAGCACAATTATGAAAAAGAACCAGGAAGCTCCTATATTGATGCCTTCTTCTAGATGGTTTTAGGGAGTCTGAAATATCATCCACTATTTCTCTTCTAAGGCTAGAAATAGGGCTATTAATACCTTTGCCCATGATTCTTGCATACAACCACAACTTGTATGAATAAAAATCCTTTCCTCTTTTCCCTCTTTGTTCCCCCTTCTCTCTCTCTCTCTCTCTCTCTGCAGTTTTCCTGTAGATATACTGATGATAAGTTCAAGGAAGTGGAAAGGTCCATTAGATGGAGGTTCCGCCTCAACAAAGTTTGGGCAACACTGAGTTACCACCATTTCTCACACTCTTTCTCACATTCTCTCTCATTCTATCACCTATCAAAATGATAATATATATTTTATACAGTTTTTTTTCCATTTGTAAAGCTGGAGACAGAAAAAATGAGAGATCTATCAATACTTGCCAATGCTACCCTTTCAATTGTCTCAATTGCTATATTATGTTGAAAAGCAGCTTTTTGCACACACTATGCAGAATCCTACCCCATTTAAGTCATTTCCAAATGAATTGAGATTTTCATAGGACATGAGTAGGGCTTGAGCAATAAGCCCATGAACATAACTTTCACTAATACCTCCATATTAAAATGTCATTTCTTCCTTTGGCAAAATGTTATACAGTATCATTAAGGAAGAATGTTTAATGTGATGATACAAAAGCCTTATTTAAGAGCAAAAAAATCTAAAGACTGAATTGCAGGTCAGAGTGCATCAGTTTGTTTCCACATAAACCCTTCATTTCAGGTCATGTTGTCTGCTTATTGAACAATTGAAAATACACTGGTTACATCATAACATATTACAATATACGAAGCTACCAATATGACTTCATGCAGTAATACCTACAAGCCAAAATAGGATATCACATTTCTTTCAGGTTATTGTGCCACAAATAAATACCAGTTTTCAAAAGCCATTTTCTTTTACCACTATGAGATTATTTACCTTTGGCTAACATGCTTATATCAGCAATAAAATTGTATCCATGTCTAAGATGTAAGACAATAGGGCTTACTCCTCATCATATGATGAATCTACATGGCTGTATAATGTCGTCTGAAACATAATGCAGTTCCAACCAAAGATGCAAGAGTGAAACTTAAATTATGACATCTCTAGAAAAATATCAATTTTATTGTTAAACTATAAAATTAATAAAAGTCTTACCATTGCTTCTCTCTCATCCTTATACTGTTCCATCACAACAGGCAAATAACTCTAAAGTTAAGTAGGTGTTTTCAGACCCTATTTCATTTTAGCATTTGATACTAAGAAGGCGGAGCAGTTCTCTATCTTGGAAAGGTGTGCAAGATGAGAAGAGATAAATCAACTTTTTAATTTGTCTTCTGAAAGGAAACCTGCCGAGTTCAAAAGCCTCAGAGTCTAACCCACGGTTAGACAACTGATTCTGTGCAACTTTAGAACATGCTGAAAGGCCTGGAGGCTTGTAGCATTTTACCTAACATTCTGGTTGCATCTAATTACCAATTTTGCATATTTTTATTTAACACCCTGAGTGCCAAGACATAGATAATGGGCACAGAGGTCTTTGCTTATGTCATTTGTATTTGAAAATTGTTAACTTTCATGGGGAAAAGCACAAATTAAAGCCTTCATAATCATGAAATAGGTTTAGGAATGGTGTCTTCCATCTGGGATTTTAAATGGGACAGGAAACAGCAACAAGATAAAACCAGAAGAACGCTATAGAGCTATGTTAAATCCAAGGACGTGCCTTGTCACTCATACAAGACTCCTCTGGATCCATGTCAATGGATTTTTAACACAATACATGTGGAGTCAATATGGTAGACCAAGGGATTTATTCACCAAATTGTTCTCTTTAGAAGCAGCTCATGAAACGTGTGTTTGGCATGCAGAAAGCCCCTGGTGTTTGCAGGTAGGGCTGAAAAAGGACCCTCTCTCCAAATTCATAGTGAGCCCTTTACTAGTTAGTCTTGGTTATCTAACTTAAAATAAAACTGTTTCCTGCTACAATGTGTGAAACTTACTTTTTTAAAATTACCAAACACAAAATTCTCCAAGCAGCTACACTGGCTGCAGGATTCTGAGATCTGTAGTCCAAAGATTAAGCGCTGGTTAGGGCATGCTTGTTTTAACTACCTGGAAAAACCCTTTTCTCCCACAAATTAGAAGAAAGACATACATATCATGAGCTTCCATTTCCAAGCAATTAAAATAATTACAATGCTTCTTATCTAGACATGGAAAGTAATTCTCTGAAAGACAATATTCTGTACTGGGGTGCTGCTCTCAGAAAATGCATGGTCCTATCCTAAAACTTGTTGAACTAAACAGTAACTTGGTTTACAATTGGGGATTACTAAAAAACATAATTAAGAAGTGCAGTGATCAAAACTAGCAATAGCTCTCCTTATCCCACACAGCATTCATCACACATAGGTACCCTACTGACAATGAGATAGATGGAAGAGTATACTTCATACCACAGCAGTTTGTAGTATCCCAGTGTTAGAAAAAGTAACTGCTTCAGTTGTTTTTATTAAATGTAAAAGTACAGGTGGTTTCTAAAAATTAACTGCAATTTAGCAGTTCTTGCACCTATCACTGTAACTCAGGCATAAGTCTAAAATACCTGGAGGGCTGAAGTTTTTCCATGCCTACTGTAACTCACTTCAAATGCTATTCCATGTAAGCATTCTGGCACAAAGTTGGCATTCTGGCACACTCTGAACAAGTATGCCAGAATCCTAACTTTCTAAATTTTGGAAGAAATTTGCAACTAATGCAATCCAGTCTAAAAACAACACCCGATAACATAGCATAGCAGCTAAAACTTGGACCATCCTTACAAAGGATTGGCAAGACTTTATTAGATAAGTTGCATCAATATTTAATCATGCTTAGAACAACCAGTCGAAATCAATGACATGGATTAGTTATGACTATTGTTTTCAATAGTAATACTCCAAGAATGTCCCCTCCAAGGCTCCTGGCATCCTTTTGAAATGCCAGGAGCTCTGCAGGAATCTCATGCCTCTGTTCAGATGCTTTGAAAGTAAGTTATACCCCTGCCGGAAATGTGAGGTTTTGGCCCCCATCCGGCTACAAATCTGAGTGAAATTGGCATTTTAAATGAATTTAGGCCAGAGTTAAAAAAAATCCATTGTTCTCAGCTCCACCTGGTTGAGGATGGTAGCTACCTTGCTAGCCGGATGAGGAATCTGAAATTGTCTGAACTTAAAAGAGCTAACTTAGACAATTCTTTTAAAATCTGGGCTGAACTGCAAAATCAACTAAACATCCAGTTACCAATGGTTCCAGCTCCAAACTTCAATGGGAAGATGATAATGATCATTTATCTACTGCTATGATTCCTGCAAGAAATATTGCACTAAAGTTCTTTTATTCTGGAAGACACTTGAGAATTGACAAATGTTAGAATAGTTTTTAGCTGATATTTTGTAAGAATTGTAATATTTAATCTCCTCACCATTCCCCAGACAGTCATACGTTATTGTTTTATTGTCTGAGAAACATATGCTGGCTGCCTAAGAGGCACCTCTATCCAATTCTCACCTTTTGTGGTCAGAGATGGTTAAGACTGGTCTACTCAAGGCATGTCAAACTCATTTTCATTGAGGGACGCATCACTTCATGGTTGTCTTCAAAGGACCGTTGAATCCATGGATGGAGAATCCATGTATAAAGGTGCTCTTTAGTTTTTACCCAGTTGGGATCCTCAGATCTTACTGAATGACAAGCCCCATCACTTTTGATCATCCACCATGTGAACTGGGGATAATGGAAATTACAACCCAACAGCACTGGTGGCTCTGAGGTTGGGGAAAATTTAAAGGAAATTGTAAAGTCAGACATCATAACCACAAGCTTTGATTTAAATTCAAAGCCCATTATCCTGACTAAACCAAACAAACGGCAGCCTTCCAGATGTTACTGTATGACAACACTCATCCGCTTTAGTCATGGCATCTAATAATAAAGGATACAGCAGTTGTAGTCCAGCATCCAGAGAGCCACATAAAATGACACAGCAAGCCGGATTTGGCCTGCAGACTTTTGAATTTGACAAATGTGGTCTAACCTTTTAAACATGCTCAGAAGGGGATGTAAAAACTTCGATCCTTACACCTCTGTCTGATCTTGTACTACAATATCCACCTTAAAAATATATCAATGTTCCACTATTATTGTTTGTAGAGCTCAAGCCCTCAGGCAGAAACAAACATCCTACATTGCACATCTTCAAAGCCTTCATTTAAAGTTTTCATTGCTTTTAATCTCCCACCCCCCGTATCTATAGGTGAATAAGCCTACAATGATCCTGCTACAGATGGCTTCCTGTTCTTGCTGCCAAATGTGGAACAGCTATAAAACTTGAAAAGAGCTGGAGGTTGTCACTTCATGAAAAATTACACTTTAAGGGGAAAATTAAATATGAGCCTCATCCTTTAATTGCTTAACTTTCATCTTGTTTCAAAAATGGACTTCTTTACCCTAAACCTTGCCTCAAAGCTTCCGCTAACATCACCTGAAGGGCAAAATATAGCTATGCATTTCAGTCAGGTCTATGTTCTCAAACAGCAGCAGCAACAACAGCAAAATAATAATAATTACCTATTTCCATTTGAAATTGTACCAAAATGACACTGAAGAAGTGACGTTCCTTTGGCTCAACTTCACAAAGATGTGTAACATCCCAAGTAGGGAAGATATCTTTATTTTTGGTGGAGGGCAAGATATAGATAATTTTAAGAAAAATAAATAATAATAGAAGGTGAGTAAAACAGTAAGGAAAACATTTAGTCCTTTATGCTGCTGAATTGCCTTTTGAGTTCAGTGGGGTTTGATTAAGAGGATGATCTTACATACAAACATATTGACACTGTGAAGACTACGATTTCGTGCATAAAATTACACAATCTTATGCATCCTTATCTTTTTGGACTACAACCCGCATGGTCACGGCCATGTTGTCTGTTGAGAATTGAAGTCCAAAAAAGTAATTTTTAAAATTATTGTAAGTCATTTTAATTCCATCTTGGGAGAAAGATAGGATGTAAATTAATTAAATAAATAGGACCAGCCCTGCATAGAAAAAAAAGAACAACACTACATAATTACCACAACAAAGATCAGGTGGAGAAACATTACAAATATCAAACAATGCTTTCTCCATCTGCAGCATAGTAATTCTCTAAGCTTTTGAAGTCGAAGTCATATTCTATCAATTCTGATGCTGCCAGTCTCCCAATCAGTTGGCTAAGTGTTGCCTGTCATTACTAAATAATGATAAACTAGAATGGCAACTTGATGCCAGTCTTCCCATTCCCCATCTGATGGCGTCACACCCTATCTGAGCATCAAATGAAATTAGGAAATGAAATGGAGAGAACAGAATTGTTGAGGGAAGTTCTCAAAAGTTCATTTCCCTCCTCTGGCAGGGAGAACGATGACATCCATTTAGGAGCTTCTGAGGAGAGCTTTCTTTCTTCATGTAGTTTCCCCCATTCTACGCCCTATTGGCACAGTAAGATACACAGGGAAACCCTAGTTTTTGAAAAGTGTTCATTATGCTCAACCCTTCAGGCTACACATAATGCCAGGGTAGGGGCAGAGAGGTGATTTATTATTAATGATAAGAATCCTTTGCAGGTGAGATCTTTTGTTTTGTTTTCTCACATTTAATGATTTATTTATCTTAAGCAATCTTAAATAGCTGTTTTGGAATTATGCAAGTCGTACATCCCTCTGGCTCTCAATAATCTCCCTAAAGCTATTAGCATCATGATAGGTGTTCACCACAAGAGCTACTTTTGTAAAACACTCATTATGTTAGTCAAGAAAAATATTGATTAAAGAACATTTAGCATGGCCCCCTTAAAGAGCTACAGAGGCAAAAAATGTGTGCCTAAACTCATAAGAGGTACCCACTCCAATATACAGAATGAAAAATAATGAAACCGTAATCAGTGGTTTAGGTCCTTAAGAAGATGCAGTTAGTTGCAGAACTTTAACTAACAAAGCACCGCTATGAGCATGCCCCCCCCCCCCCCAAGGAGGAGAAACAAAAGCCTGTTAAATTTTTAATGAAACTTATGTTCTTAAATGCAGATGCTAGGGTTAATATGATGAAGATCACACCTGCCATGCAAAGACTATAATGTGTGCAAGGAAAACATTAAATTAAATTCAAAATATGTGAAATATATGCAAACCTAGACCATGATGTAGTGAGTTAGTTTTCAGTCTGCATCAGTCATGAACTTTCCAAATGAAAAACAAAGTCTGAGAGAAAGGTAGGCTCTAGGATTTGGAAATCTCTCAAGCTCTGGGAGGCTTGAGCTATTGCTTCTCTCCC